GAAGATCTCCCGGTCACTGCTAGTGACATCCTTCCTGGAGTTGTGCTTCCAGGGGACACGGAAGGCGCCGCGGTACGGGTCCGTCCAGCAGAGCCCCTGGTAGATCCCGCTGGTCACGGCGTTCAGCAGCCAGGGCACGAACCGCAGCTTCGCGGCGTCCCTGAGGATGCGGGGCCGTCACCGGCGGGACCGGAGTCACGGGGGCCGGTGACCGGGGCAGGGGGTGCTGGGGCGTTGCTTACCCATCGCTCGCCATGGTGCCGCGGCGCGCCCGCTGCTCGGTCCGAGGAGGGAGCCCTCGGCCGCCTCCCGCCCGGCCCTATTATAGGCCGGGTTCCTGGAAAACACGTCACCATCTCGAAAGTGACTCGGGACCTTTTCGAAAGCGAAAGTGTGGCGGCCGCGGGGCTGGGGGAGGGGAGTGTGTGTGCGTGTCTGTGTGTGTGCGTGTCTGTGTGTGTGCGTGTCTGTGTGTGTGCGTGTCTGTGTGTGTGCGTGTCTCTGTGTGTGTGCGTGTCTCTGTGTGTGCGTGTCTCTGTGTGTGCGTGTCTCTGTGTGTGCGTGTCTCTGTGTGTGCTTGTCTCTGTGTGTGCGTGTGTCACGTTCCCTTGCCAGCCCGGGGGATGCCGCAGTCTCAGCCTGGTCCCACATCCCCCGCGTTCCTGGCTGCATGAACTGTGTTCAGCTGGAGGAGAGGGGGCGCCGGGAGACCCTAGGGCACTTCGAGTGCCTAAAGGGGCCGACAGGAAAGCTGGGGCGGGGCTTTAGACATGGGCCTGTAGGGACAGGACAAGGCGAACCGCTTTAAGCTGAGAGAGGGGAGATTTAGATTAGACACTAGGAAGAAGTTCTTCACTGTGAGGGTGGTGAGACACTGGCACAGGGTGCCCAGAGAAGCTGTGGCTGCCCCGTCCCTGGCAGCGGTCAAGGCCAGGTTGGATGGGGCTTGGAGCAACACTCTCTAGTGGAAGGTGTCCCTGCCCACGGCAGGGGGTTGGAACTGGATGAGCTTTAAGATCCCTTCCAACCCAAGCCGTCCTGTGTGTCCTGTTCACTGCTCGGGTCAGGCTGGGTATCGGTCGACAGGTGGTGAGTGGTTGTATTGCGCATCACTGCTGGTTATTGTATTCTTTTTGCCCTTTTAGTTTTATATTCTCTGCTCCCCAGCAGGACAACCTGCTCCAGCCTTATCCAGCCACACAAAGAACTGTTTAACTCCAGCCGGTAACTCGGAACCATGAAGGCACTTGCTCACTTATCCCCTTCTTCCTGTCCCTGCTCCCAGAGGGATGGGGAAGAGAATCGAAAGAATGTAACTCCCATGGGTTGAGATAAGAACAGTCCAGTAACATAGTATAACAGAAATCACTGCTGCTGCTACCAATAATAATAATAATAAGGGAAATAACAAGGGAAGAGAATACAACGGCTCACCACCTGCTGACCAATACCCAGCCCAATCTGAGCAGTGATTAGGACACAAAGAATAGTTTGAGTTGGAAATTCAAAATCCCTGCACAGCCCTGGGACACAGCAGTGAGAGCAGGCCCCAGGCTGAGGGGAGAAGCTCCCAGAGCCCCATGCTGTGGCCCCAAAAGTGCTGCTGCAGGATGGCTGCATCCCAAAACCAAACCACACTGGTTTGCAAGGAGCACAGGGCAGGCAGGCACTGGGGATGTGCTTGGGCTTAGCATGAAGGCAGCTGCGCCCGCCGCCGGGGTTTCCCAGGGTGCATCCAGCAGCACAGCCCGAGGAGCCCAGGGCTGGCCTCTGGCCTGGAAACTCCCACGCCTGCATTAAACGTCATAAATAAGAAACTATTTTAATGTTCCTCTCAGGCTGCCTTAGTTTGCAGTCTCAGGGCATGTGGTAAAACAATGGGAAACGAAAGCAAACCCCAGGAGGGTAGGGCTTCCTGCCCAGGAGCCAGTTTTCCAGGCACTCCCTTTCCCTGTGAAGCTGGGATGCTCCTGGCATCGCGCCTGCTCCCGATGCACCTAGTGCCACAGGCCCAACAGCCATGAAGGCGAAGGTGGCTCCACAGATCTATGCAAACAAAAAGAAAGGGAAAAAAGAAGGAAAATCAACCCTGGGATCCTGCATCAGCCCCACGTGTGTGTGTCGGTGCTGCAAAGGATGCTTTTCACGTCCTTGCAAAAGCCCTATGGGGGTCCCCATCAGCCATGCCAGGCCTCAAAAGCAAGGAAGGGGCAGGCACAGAGGCCTTTGGTTGGGCAGAGAAGAGATTCAGAGCACCCCTGAAGAGGACTTGGGGATGTTGGTCAATGAGAAAATGAACATGAGCCGGCAGTGTGCACTTGCAGCCCAGAAAGCCAACTGTATCCTGGGCTGCATCAAAAGGAGTGTGACCAGCAGGTCGAAGGAGGTGATCCTGCCCCTCTACTCTGCTCTTGTGAGACCTCACCTGGAGTATTGTGTGCAGTTCTGGTGTCCTCAACATAAAAAGGACATGGAACTGTTGGAACAAGCCCAGGGGAGGGCCATGAGGATGATCAGGGGACTGGAGCACCTCCTGTATGAAGACAGGCTGAGGAAGTTGGGGCTGTTCAGCCTGGAGAAGAGAAGGCTGCATGGAGACCTCATAGCAGCCTTCCAGCATCTGAAGGGGGCCTATAGGGATGCTGGGGAGGGACTCTTCATTAGGGACTGTAGTGATAGGACAAGGGGTAACGGGTTAAAACTTAAACAGGGGAAGTTTAGATTGGATATAAGGAGGAAGTTCTTTACTGTGAGGGTGGTGAGGCACTGGAATGGGGTGCCCAGGGAAGTTGTGAGTGCTCCATCCCCGGCAGTGTTCAAAGCCAGGCCGGAAGGAGCGTTGGGTGATATGGTTTAGTGTGAGGTGTCCCTGCCCATGGAAGTGGAGTTGGAACTAGACGATCTTAAGGTCTTTCCCAACCCTAACTATTCGGTGATTCTATGATTCTATGATTCTGGGAATTCCCCTACTGGTTGCCAGGAAGTTCCCCTGTGCTTTGTAGGAAATTCCCCTCAGGGATTTAGGAATTCTTCTCATTGTGTTGCAGGTAATTTCACCATCCCCCAACTGACCCACCTGCCTAAACCTATGACAGGGTGTACAGCACCTCCACCAAACTGTATTTAAGAGCAGTAAACAGCACAAACACAAACACAAGAATCATGGTCAGGGCAGCAGCAAGGGACAGGGTTGACATGGGACAAGGTATGACTGCAAAGTCTGGCCTCAGTGGACTTTTGCCAGAGGGATGGGGACAGGGTAGGATACACAAGGAGGTGAGCCTATGCTGGTTGTTGTTCCTTGCCCCAGGGAAAAACGGCACCCACAGAGAGTGGAGCAGAGATGAGTTTTTCCACGTGTATTTAGCTACTTTTATTCCTCAGTACTGCAAACAATGCTTAGAGGTTTCTGTTAATCCAGAATTAAGTTCACAGATATTCTCCCAGTTTAAACTCCTGCCTGCCTGTGGGGCTCCCTTTGGGCACAGTGACTATCCCCTGACACAGCTCCATGTCTTCCTGGATCACAGGCACATCCAAGCAGCTAAAAATCAGCCCCTTTCAGGTCACCAGCTCCAACGTGGAGGATGAGAGAGGTTTCTAAAAGCATCCAAAAGGACAAGAGCTTTCCCTGGACCTCAGATCTTCACTACATCAAGTTTTCCTCTGAATATAAACCCACAATACAAACCTGCACTCCACACACCCCTCTGCAGTCACATGGCACTCAGCTTCAGGGGAAGTCCTTGCAGGCAGAAGGGCAAGCAGAAACTCCACTACTTTTATGAGCCAGGATTTTGTGTAAATCACCAAGCAGCAAGGATCAGAGCACCTAAAAAACTCCAAACCATCGCCCCCCCAAAATCCCTTTCTCTTCTAATTCACCCAAGGGAAATGCAGAGCAAGAGCAGCATCACAGCACTAAGCACAACACAGGCATTTATCACAGTCTCCGCACAGATACCTTCCCAGATACACAAAGCCATTAAGAAATAAAGAAAGAAAAAGAAAATGATTCACATATGCAAACCAACAACTAACAAATCAGCCACAGAACAACTTATTTGAAAAGGATGCATTAGGGAAGAAGACCTTCAACATGGAGGTCCTGCAAAAACCTAACCCAAGAACATGGAAACACAGGTGGGTTTTTTTTAAACATTAAAAACAGGGATTTCTTTTCTTTTTAATTAATTTAAATATACATTTGAAACACAAATACCAAGCAAGTGCCTGGAGAACAAGGCGAAAAGAAGGAATGAAAAGTTAATTCAACCAGTTTAATTTAAACACCAAAGTCAGGTCGATTGCACCAAATCAAATAAATAATGGAGAAGATCACACTGGGTTGGTAGATCTCACAATATCATTTAAGCTAGAATTAATTACACAGCTCTAGAGTACTGAAACGAGGAAGTCCTCTGGCAAGTGATGCTAGCTGAGGCAGTGCCCCTTTGACACAGCAGGTTGTAGGCGTGGATTTGCCCTCAGCCACAAAACAACAATCACCACCCAGAGGCAAACACAATGATAGTTTTTATGATGCAGAGGACTCGACCCAGGAATCAGGTACATGCAAACAGCTCCTTGCTTGGGTGCATGAACCCTCTGCCTCTTCAGCACCAGTTGGCTCCAAACACACCCACGTCAAACATCAAAGCACAACCAGACCTTGTGTTTTAACCCTGCAAGGTGCACAGCATTTCTTGCACTGCTCCCTGAGGTCGGGCACCACAGAAGAGGAGCAGGCACCTCCTTTCACACACCTGGGGCCAGGCTGGAGAAAAAACAGACCCAAAATCTGCTAATCTACACTTGCAGCCACGGCTGAAGGAATGTAAGTGGTTTCTTCATTTGGTTTTGCCACCCCACAACCCCTGCATTAAAAAAAAGCCTAAACACCCAACCCACCCCCCTTCCCTGAACAAAAATAACTTGATCCCAAGTTCCTCTCTACCCCCTGCCTGTAGCCAAGCAGGGAAGCACCTTCAGACTTGCGCGTGATCCCACTGATGTGTTCCCTATGGAGCAGACATCTCATCTCTGTACCTCACCTGGATGTGCCCGTGACACTTTGTTAGGAGGAACATCCCTTTGCTTTAAACCAAAATAATTACAAAGTCAATAGTAACGATGCCCTTTACCTTCCTCTGATCTAGAACATTTAAGTCCAACTCATTTTTGAGAAAGGGAGAAATGAGGAGTGAAGGTTTCCAGACAAAGGAACTTGCCAGATCCAGCACCTCACCCCACGGTGCCCCTGGCTGAGGTGAGATGAGCCCCTTCTGCACAGGGCCGGTTCTCCCCTCTGAGGCCAACAGAGCTGAGGAGGGCCTTAGGGGAAAGGACACAGCTGCTCCTCCAGCTCCTAATCAGATAGCTGGCAACTCTAGGAAGAAAGAGGGGAACCAAGTAGATGAGAATTCAGACTATTTCTTTCCCATCCCTCTTCCTCCCCAGGGCTGGGAGGAGAATTCTGGGTCTGCAAGCCCAGCCTGTGCTTACCAGTGCCCTTGAGAATAACAATTAAAAAAAAAAAAAAAAAGGAAAGGAGAAGAATAAAAGACAATGCATAATTAGGTATTGTCCGTGGAAGGAGCAGGAGGGGGCAGGTTCCAGACTGAGACAGAAAAGGGACTTGTATCTCCCTCACTGCATTTGCTCATCTGGAGAACACATTCCCTCAGCATCCCTGTGCGAACCCTTTGTGCTGTTGCTCTGACATCAGTTGACATGGATGATGAACATGGGGATGAATTCAGCGCTGCAGAGGGCAGGAGGGCACACAGAGGTGTGCTGGGGCTAGGCCCGGTGCTTGGGGAGCATGTCGAGCAGGAACTCTGCGATGCCGATGAAGTAGACAACTTGTGCAATGCCGAAGAGAGGAGCAATGACCAGGGCTCGGCAGTATGCCCCTTTCAAGAAGGCCATGGGACCTTCCTTCTGCCAGATCTTCCTGGGGAGAAATGGCACACACAGGTCAGTGTCCATCCCACCACACCAGCAGAACTTCTGGCCATGCCCTGGCTTTTTTGCCTCCTTTCAGAGACTAAACCCAGGCAAACACTGTCACCTGGCACTGCCTCCACAGTAGATCATCCACCATCCCCAAGTGCTCCGCAAAAGACTGCAAGAACAAGCTCCATCCCTACAGCTGGCCAGGAGCAAGAGTGTCTGCCTGGGTCTGGATGTACAGCTAAGACAACCCCATGCTTGCATCAAGAGGTCCCCCTGTTCAAAAGGTGGGGCCAACTCCAATCCTCAGTATGGGGGACAGTCAGATCGCAAGAGATTCTGCCAACAGCAGCAATACACAGAAGCTGTATTGAGCGCTTGTGTTTTGAAACTCCCTTCATGTTCTGAAGTAGTCAGACCACAGTTTTGCAAAGGGTCAGAGAAGAGTGCAGCTGGGGACAGTCCACTCAGACAGCCCTCCTGCAGCTGCTGTTCGGAGTCATCCCAGCAGGAATACGGACTTAATGCTGTAGGATTTCCAGGCAACAGGGCCTTAGGAGAGACAATCACTTGCCTCCCTCTGCAAAAATAAAATCTCACTGTTATGACTGCTGGGGTTTGGATAGAAGCATTTAAATATAAATGCTGTATTTACCTTGTTCAAAATAGGAAAAAAATACATGAACAGTATATATATGGTGATATATATATATACATCTATCCATATAGATAGATAAAAGCACATGTTCAGAGGGAAATCAAAACAGAGAAGCTGCTGCATGGGGGTCTAGAAGCTGCACTGATTGCTTGGCAGCAGGCAGCAGCAGATGCCATACATCTGGTACAGTAGCCTGCTTCACAAGGAGGCTTACTTGGTGCAGTCCAGGATTCCTGAGTAGGTGTCCTCGTTCACTCCCCTCTGCAAGGACTGCAACCGTGTTTTGATCACTGGGAAAAAAAAGAGAAGAGAGACAGGAGTGAGCACTGGGAATGTAGCATGCTCTTCAGCAGGGAAGAGCCACCCTGAGACTAATGTCTTTGAAACACAGTCAAAACCCAATCACCAAAACCACAGACCATTTTCATACATTTATCAGCACAAAAAAGGGAAACCAAAACATTTCTTTACAAACTGATAAAACACAGCCACCCAAACCCCAACCACGTCCTCTCACTGTGACCAAGGTTTCCAAGGCTGACTTAAGCTTTAAACACTTCCAAATTCAGATATCCTTCTGCAAAGTGGGAACTGATCTTCAAATACTCAGTTTCTTCTCAAGAAGTATCTAAAATATATGATGCTGCTCTTACATTTCTTCACACCTTGGAGCGTGTGCAATGCTGCAGAGAGGATTTAATTTCTGATGTTTTTCACATCAGAGAAACCAAGGTGGCAGCTTAAGGCAAATGCTGTCTGTCCTGGGTTCAGCAGTAGCAGTCATGTTTCTCCTTCGTGGTAGCTGGTGCAGTGCTGTGTTTTGACTTCCAGCCTGGGAACAGTGCTGGTGAAGTCGATGTTTTCAGTTGTTGCTAAGTGATGTTTACCCTGACCAAGGACTTTGTGAGCCTCATGCTCTGCCAGGGAGGAGGGGAAGCCGGGAGGAAGCAGAGACGGGGCGCCTGACCCAGGCTAGCCAGGGAGGTATTCCATACCACAGCACGTCATGCCCGGGGTGGGGGGTAACTGGGAGTTACCCGGAAGGACACAGGCTTCTGGGTGGGACTCGTTTCTTGGCCGGTGGTATCGTATTCTCTTCCCTTGTTATTTTCTCTTATCATTGTTGTCGGTGGTGGTAGCGGTGGTGATTTGTGTTGTACATTGGTTGCTGGACTGTTCTTGTCTCAACCCGTAGGAGTTGCACTCTTTCGATCCTCCTCCCCATTCCTCCGGGAGCGGGGAAGGGGAGAGCCCCGGTGCAGGGGGGGGGGGGGAGACGAACACGGACCTTGATTGTTGTCAGCTTGGCACCACTCACTGGGAGTGAGTGAACAAGTTGCCTGACTGGATTTAAACCACGACAGTTCTTTTTGGCGCCCAGCATGGGGCACGAGGGGTTGAGATAACGACGGATCTGACTGGATTAATAGTCACTCATCAGAATGCTGATTTATTGGCTCTCAAGGTTGTTCCTCTTGATCTCACAGTTTCAGTATATCGTATCTTACTTCCATCCGGTATTTGCTGTATTAGCGTTTTTCAAGTGTGGGGCTTGGGCTAAGGTTTTTGTCTCATTGTATTTTATGGTAATGACTTGTAATACAATAGAATCATTGATCATGAAACTGATCTGGCTTATGTTCCCAGTGTGGTCACCACCTTTATACTTTGGGAGGTATATGATGGAGGTGCTTAGCAATTACACATCTTTTTTCTCCTTCTCAGGTGCTCAACCTGTGAAGGAGACATCCTTTTACCCTCCCATTTACATTTGAGAGTTTTGAAGTTTTTGAATGGCCTTTTAAAGCTGTTGAGACTTGTTTGCTGATCGTGATGGGAATCACCATGCTAGCACGCATACAGAGTGTGTTTTGCCCATGACTGATTTCAAGAGTTAAGCAGAGTCAGGTTTGGGTCTTGTCTGGGGTCAAACGAGGACGTAGGAGGACCAAGAGATTTTCCCTGAGGCTGGACAGCCATGAGTGGCAGGGTGTGTGGGATAGTATGGGCAAGTATCTAGGTCAGTGGGCCCCTCCAGTACTTTGGAATTTCACTACCAAACAACTGCAAAATCCAGAAGAATTAGTAAAACACTTAAATGAGGTGTGTGGTCATTCTGGCCATACCAGAGATGGACAAATCATGGCAACGTGCTAGGGCTTGGCCTATGCTTACAGGGCCTTGTTCAACACTATCCAGCACCTTCAAAAGGAAAAGAATGTAGGCGGATCTGAGGGCAAAGCAACAGTCAGTGCAGCTACTCCAGCTCCAGGCACAGCAGCTACACCACCCCCAGCGACAAGTACAGTCGCTACTCAAACTTTGGCTGCAATGAACAGCGCAGCTACCCCAGCGGCAAGTACAGCAGCTGCTCAAACTTTGACTGCAACAGACAGTGCGGCTACCCCAGCTCCAAGCACGGCAGCTGCACCACCCCCAGCGACAAGTACAGTTGCTACTCAAACAACAGTGATAATCACTGCAGCCAAACCAGAGGACCAATTCATACCAATATCGGTTGCCCCTGTACACAAGAGAACAAGCAAAAAAGAGGCAAGAAGGGTGAAGCGAGATGAAGAAACAATGAATTCACCACCCGGTCCAGAATCTGATCAGGAGTCATCATCACATGACGAAGAAGAAGAGGTAACTTCTCGACCTCGGACCTCAACCGAGCTGCGGAATATGCGAAAAGATTTTACCCGTCAACCAGGGGAGCACATCATCACCTGGTTACTCCGATGCTGGGACAATGGGGCCGATGGTCACGAACTAGAAGGTACAGAAGCCAAGCAGCTGGGATCACTTGCTAGAGAAGGGGGAATTGACAAAGCAATTGCAAGAGAGAAAAAGTCCCTCAGCCTTTGGAGGAGGCTCTTGGCAGCTGTGAAAGAAAGGTTTCCGTACAAGGACGATGTTACGAGTCGTTCGGCCAAGTGGACTACTATAGACAAAGGCATCCAGTCTCTGAGGGAATCGGCCATTGTAGAGATGATCTATCACATCAAGCCGAATAACGGGGATACACCCATAGATCCAGATGAAGTTGAATGTACACGACCCATGTGGCAAAAACTTACAAGGAATGCACCGTCATCATATGCCCATTCATTGGCAACAGTAACCTGGAATGACATAGTATCACTAACAGTGGATGAAATGGTTCATAAACTCCGAGAGTTTGAAGACAATCTCACCCCTTCCATCATCTCAGCTGTGGAAAAACTGTCCCAGGACCTCGAACAATTGAGGGATGATCTATCTGATTTATCCAGCTCCTCACGTGTACCAACACACGTCTCAGCTATTAACAAAAGGCGTCCTATTGTTCAAGAGAGGAGATACAGGAGGTATACGCCACGGGGTACCCTATGGTTTTACCTGCGGGATCACGGAGAAGACATGACAAAGTGGGATGGAAAACCTACTTCAGCTTTGGAGGAACGGATGAGTGAACTGAAGAGGGGAGCAAGGGCCAAGACTGATCGTCCCATGAGAGCTACGGCTTCAGTCTCTGGTGAGCAGTTTCCCAGATGGAGTGGAAGAGCTGATTTTACTCCAGCTCCTGTGATAATGAAGAATAATCTCTTTTACCATGACTTAAGTGTCCAACGCTGTGACGACCATTAGAGGGGCCCTGCCTCCAGCCAGGTGGAGGTAGGGGACAATCGGATTTACTGGACTGTGTGGATCAGATGGCCTGGCACATCAGTCCCACAGAAGTATAAGGCTCTAGTAGATACTGGTGCACAGTGTACCCTGATGCCATCAAGCTGTCAAGGGGTGGAACCCATCTATATTTCTGGAGTGACAGGAGGATCCCAAGAGTTGACTGTGCTGGAGGCTGAAATCAGCCTGACTGGGAGGGAATGGCAAAAGCACCCTATTGTGACTGGTCCAGAGGCTCCATGCATCCTCGGCATAGACTACCTCAAGAGAGGGTACTTCAAAGACCCAAAAGGGTACCGGTGGGCTTTTGGTATTGCTGCTTTGGAGACTGAGGAAATTGAGCAGCTGTCCACCTTGCCTGGCCTCTCAGAAGATCCCTCTGTTGTGTGGTTGCTGAAAGTTGAAGAACAACAAGTGTCAATTGCGACCACAACAGTGCACCGGCGGCAATATCGCACCAACCGAGACTCCCTGATTCCCATCCATCAGCTGATCCATAGACTGGAGAGTCAGGGGGTGATCAGCAGGACCCGCTTGCCCTTTAATAGCCCCATATGGCCAGTGCGAAAGTCTAATGGAGAATGGAGACTAACAGTAGACTATCGTGGCCTGAATGAAGTCACACCACCCTTGAATGCTGCCGTACCGGACATGCTAGAACTTCCGTATGAACTGGAGTCAAAGGCAGCCAAGTGGTATGCCACGATTGATATTGCCAATGCATTTTTCTCCATTCCTTTGGCAGCAGAGTGCAGGCCACAGTTTGCTTTTACTTGGAGGGGTGTCCAGTTCACTTGGAACCGACTGCCCCAGGGGTGGAAACACAGCCCTACCATTTGCCATGGACTGATCCAGACTGCACTGGAACAGGGGCAAGCTCCAGAACACCTGCAATACATTGATGACATTATTGTGTGGGGCGATACAGCGGAAGAAGTCTTTGAGAAAGGGAGGAAAATAATCCAAATCCTGCTGAAAGCCGGTTTTGCCATAAACTGGAGTAAGGTCAAGGGACCTGCACAGGAGATTCAATTTTTGGGAATAAAATGGCAAGATGGACGTAGACAGATCTACAGATGTGATCAACAAGATAACAGCAATGTGTCCAACAACTAATAAGAAAGAAACACAAGCTTTCTTGGGTGCTGTGGGGTTCTGGAGAATGCACATCCCAAATTACAGTTCGATTGTAAGCCCTCTCTATCATGTGACCCGGAAGAAGATGATTTTAAATGGGGCCCTGAGCAACAACAAACCTTTGAGCAAATTAAACACGAGATAGTTCATGCAGTGGCCCTTGGACCAGTTACCGGACCGGGCCAGATGTAAAAAATGTACTGTACACTGCAGCTGGGGAGAACGGTCCCACCTGGAGCCTCTGGCAGAAAGCTCCAGGGGAGACTCGAGGTCGACCCCTCGGCTTTTGGAGTCGGGGATACAAAGGATCTGAGGCCAGCTATACCCCAACTGAGAAAGAGATACTGGCAGCCTATGAAGGGGTTTGGGCTGCTTCGGAAGTGACTGGCACTGAAGCACCGCTCCTCCTGGCACCCCGGTTGCCCACGCTGGGCTGAATGCTCAAAGGCAGGGTCTCCTGTACACATCATGCAACCGATGCTACATGGAGTAAATGGGCTGCACTAATTACACAACGAACTCGAATAGGAAATCCCAGTCGTCCAGGCATTCTAGAAGTCATCATGGACTGGCCAGAGGGCAAAGATTTCGGAATGTCACCAGAGGAGGAGGTGGTGCGCGCTGAAGAGGCCCCACCATATAATAAACTGTCAGAAAGTGAAAAACAGTATGCCTTGTTTACTGATGGCTCTTGCCGTATTGTGGGAAAGCATCGGAGATGGAAGGCAGCTGTATGGAGTCCTGGACGACAAGTTGCAGAAACTGCTGAAGGAGAGGGTGAATCGAGTCAATTTGCCGAGGTGAAAGCCATCCAGCTGGCCCTGGACATTGCTGAACGAGAAAAGTGGCCAGTACTTTATCTCTATACTGACTCATGGATGGTGGCAAATGCCCTGTGGGGGTGGTTGAAGCAATGGAAGCAGAGCAACTGGCAACGCAGAGGTAAACCCATCTGGGCTGCTGCACTGTGGAAAGATATTGCTGCCCGAGTGCAGAACCTGATGGTGAAGGTACATCATGTAGATGCCCATGTACCCAAGAGTTGGGCCACTGAGGAACACCGGAACAACCAACAAGTGGATAAAGCGGCTAAGACTGCAGTGGCTCAGATGGACTTAGATTGGCAACATAAAGGTGAATTATTTTTGGCCCGGTGGGCCCATGACACTTCAGGCCATCAGGGCAGAGATGCAACATACAGATGGGCCCGTGATCGAGGGGTGGACTTAACAATGGACACTATTGCCCAGGTTATTCATGAGTGTGACACATGTGCTGCCATTAAACAAGCCAAGCGGTTAAAGCCTCTTTGGTATGGAGGACGATGGTTGAAGTATAAATATGGGGAGGCCTGGCAGATTGACTATATCACACTGCCACCAACACGCCAAGGCAAGCACCATGTGCTTACCATGGTGGAAGCAACCACCGGGTGGCTGGAAACACATGCTGTGCCCCATGCCACTGCCCGGAACACCATCCTGGGCCTTGAGAAACAGATTTTGTGGCGACACGGCACCCCAGAGAGAATTGAGTCAGACAATGGGACTCATTTCCGGAATAACCTTATAGATACTTGGGCCAAAGAGCATGGCATTGAGTGGGTATATCACATCCCCTACCATGCACCACCCTCTGGGAAAATCGAACGGTACAATGGGCTGTTAAAAACTACACTGAGAGCAATGGGTGGGGGAACTTTCAAGCATTGGGATACACACTTACCAAAGGCCACCTGGTTGGTCAACACCAGAGGATCTGCCAACAGGGCTGGCCCAGCCCAGTCAGAACTTTTACATATTGTAGAGGGGGACAAAGTTCCCGTGGTGCATATGAAGAATTTGCTGGGGAAGACAGTCTGGGTTATTCCTGCTTCAGGTAAAGGCAAACCCACTTGTGGGATTGCTTTTGCTCAGGGACCTGGATATACTTGGTGGGTAATGCGGGAAGATGGGGAAGTCCGATGTATACCTCAAGGGGATTTGATTTTAGGGGAAAACAGCCAGTGAACTCAACTGTATGCTGTTGCCTGCTGTGTAATGCTTTTATAGCCCATCAACTAGATGTCTCCAGGTCACCAGCGACTGGCCCTGACTTCCCTCCAACCATCATCCCAACAGAGAATGAACTTTGATAGAACCGGTTGAGTTCCTCAGTAAAGGAATGACCAGCATCAGCAGGCAAAGATCCAATACTGCACACAGCCTTTCCTGCCCTGAAAGATTGTTACAAGAGATGGAACCTGACATTATGGACCGAATGGACTCAGCAGCATTATAGGGATTGGTCCAGGCACTAAGAAAATTATCTTTTTCTCTTGGTCTGTATGTATATAGATGTATATATGTGGGAGAGTGATGGTGTATTGAAAATGTGGGATCTGAGCATGACGTGAATGGTGTGGAATAAGGGGTGGATAATGTCCTGAGTTCAGCAGTAGCAGTCATGTTTCTCCTTCGTGGTAGCTGGTGCAGTGCTGTGTTTTGACTTACAGACTGGGAACACTGTTGGTGATACCAATGTTTTCGGTTGTTGCTAAGTGATGTTTACCCTGACCGAGGACTTTGTGAGCCTCATGCTCTGCCAGGGAGGAGGGGAAGCCAGGAGGAAGCAGAGACGGGGCGCCTGACCCAGGTTAGCCAAAGAGGTATTCCATACCACAGCACGTCATGCCCGGGGTGGGGGGCAACTGGGAGTTACCCAGAAGGACATGGGCTTCGGGGTCGGACTCGTTTCTTGGCCGGTGGTATCGTATTATCTTCCCTTGTTATTTTCTCTTGTCATTGTTGTCGTTGGTGGTAGTGGTGGTGATTTGTGTTGTACATTGGTTGCTGGACTGCTCTTGTCTCAACCCGTACGAGTTGCACTCTTTCGATCCTCCTCCCCATTCCTCCGGGAGCGGGGAAGGGGAGAGCCCCGGTGGGGGGGCTTGATTGTTGTCAGCCAGGCACCACTCACTGCGAGTGAGTGAACAAGTTGCCTGACTGGGTTTAAACCACGACACTGTGGAGCAGGAGAAAAGGCCACATATCTGAGGTCTGACCTGGTTGTCCGTGATTCTTATTTGCATACTAGCATTGCACGTGGAAACGTGCCTTTTCAGGGGCATGTTCGCAGCCATTCCTGTGAAGAATGTTGGAACAAGTCCAGAGGAGGGCCACGAGGATGATCAGGGGACTGGAGCACCTCCCATATGAGGACAGGCTGAGAAAGTTAGGGCTGTTCAGCCTGGAGAAGAGAAGGCTGTGTGGAGACCTCATAGCAGCCTTCCAGTTTCTGAAGGGAGCCTACAAGGGTGCTAGAGAGGGACTCTTCATTAGGGACTGTAGTGACAGGACAAGGGGTAACAGGTTAAAACTTAAACAGGGGAAGTTTAGATTGGATATAAGGAAGAAGTTCTTTACTGTGAGGGTGGTGAGGCACTGGAATGGGTTGCCCAGGGAAGTTGTGAGTGCTCCATCCCTGGCAGTGTTCAAGGCCGGGTGGGACAGAGCCTTGGGTGGCATGGTTTAGTGGCAGGTATCCCTGCCCATGGCAGGGGGGTTGGAACTTGATGATCTTAAGGTCCTTTCCAACCCAAACTATTCTATGATTCTGTGAATGACTGAAATGGATGACACCCTTTTCCTGACTTACCTAGTGAGTACTGCAAACCTCTGTGTAAGCTGTGGCCAAAGGTATAGCTCAGCTGAAGAAACCACCATCTGAGCTGGAGGCAGCTCAGACAGCAGAGGTCTCCATCTGCACCTCCCTGTGTGCTCATGCTGCGAAGAGGCTGGTACAATCACTCTCATCCTCACCTAGTCTGCTTCTGCCTCCTGGCACCTGGCACCAGATCACCAGCACAGGCTCCTCAAGACTCACCATCACAAGGATTGACAGCCACCGCAGCTGTACTGCCAGCCACACATCCGGAAAGGAAGGACACATAGAACGGAGCCTTGACATTGGGGTCTTTCTGGCCCAGCTTGTTCAGGTTTGCAAACAGTGGGAAGTAAACAATGGAGAACGGGACATCCCTGTGGTGGGGAGTGAAGAAGGAAAAAAAGAGTAAGGATGAGCAAAGTCAGAGTGAGACACCAACAAACTGAACATCAAATGAAGGGCTGCAAGCATCATGCGTTGGCAGCACCAGCCGCAAGCACAACACAGACAAAGCAGCTCTTCAACTGCAATGCAAATAGCAGCCAAAACCCAACAGGGGCAAAACTGACTGCAAAAATACAACAGGCCCATGGGAGGGACAGAGTCCTGTTGAGTCAATGGCCTCTCCCTGATTTTCAATACTCAAACCATGGCATATTCAGAATTGTTTGTCCATTTCTGTTATATCAAGAGGATTGCATCCTGCCCCATCCACTGAGCCTTGCTTTAGCTCTGCCTTTAGTAAGAGGAAAGTCACTCTGTGAAAGGGTAAAGAGTGTCAGAGCAGATACAGATCCTTGCATTCAACATGCTCCATGGGCCAGAACATGTTTTGCACTCTGGAGACTCAGGCTGACAGTTCTGATTCAATAGCTCACAAGGACTTCTCTACATTGTTAAAATACGGGCCATGTGGGAATAAAATAAAACCTCCCAAAGAAAGAAGCAGAATTAAATCTTCCTGGAACAAAAAGGTAGCCCCCCTCGCTTCCCTGACCTTCCCTTCATTAGTATGCAAAACCTGCACACTGAAACTAAACCAAATCAAACCCACACCCATGAAGCAAAGCCCCTTTGCAGGCTCTTCCCCTGGATGGCTGGTGCTTTAGGTTCAAGACGGGGAACACTGCTGCGCTCAAACCCATGTCATCCTTCCAGTATCTGAAGGGGGCCTACAAGGATGTCGGGGAAGGACTCTTCATTAGGGACTGTAGCGACAGTACAAGGGGTAATGGGTTATGGGTTAAAACTTAAACAGGGGAAGTTTAGATTGGATGTAAGGAGGAAGTTCTTTACTGTGAGGGTGGTGAGGCACTGGAATGGGTTGCCCAGGGAAGTTGTGAATGCTACATCCCTGGAGGGGTTCAAGGCTAGGTTGGACAGAGCCTTGGGTGACACGGTTTAGCGTGGGGTATCCCTGCCCATGGCAGGGGGTTTGAAACTGGGTGATCTTAAGGTACTTTCCATCTCTAACTATTCTATGATTCTATCCTACCTTAGCAGTGTGGCTCCCAGGCCTTTGTAGAGTCCTGCGATGCCTTTGCTCCGCAGCAGCTCCCTTGTTATCTGTGTTGCTGTGGTGCGTGTTTCCACCACTGGCTCTGCCACCCTCGTCGCAGAGGAAGAAGAGAGTTGGGCCTGTGCTGCCATCAGCTTCTTCTGTGCCGCTGGGGAGGAGCAGAGAGAGAAGTGGTCTGCAAGATGCTCAACAACAGTCTCTTGCTGCCCGGTGCCATGGGATGAGGAGGAAGAGGCAGACTGGCACATCAAGCATACAGACTGAGGCCAGCCAGGTGCCCTGAAAACTTTTGCTCCCACTCAGCCCATCTCCCTCAGCCTGTCCCAGTGTGGGAGCTAGCTGCTGCCACACAACACTGCCCACTGTACTCTGCTACTGACTGGTTTTACCTAAGCAGGAGCAGCCTGTCACACACGACTTCCACAGTGCAGAGAAAAGGAAATGCCATGAGCAGGCAGAGGATGGTACCTGCTTCCAACTACGTCCCCGAGCCCCCAGCAGGACAAACTAAAGATATTCATAAACAAGAGAGGTTCAACAGTTTTGCTCTTTGCTTCCTTCTCTTGAAAGCAATCATTAAGCCGGGAGCTCCCCAGCCACGTTTATAAACTCAATCTGGTTTCCCCAGCCTTTTCACGCTGATGCATTTCTGCTCTTTGGCCAGAAGATGGAGAGCACATCAACCTGCAGGCAAACCGCTGGCTACCACCATCTCACCACAGGCCTCTTGCCGCATAGGGAACAGGCTGTTCACAGCAGCAAAAACCTCTTCTGAACCCTGAAACCACAGCTTAATTCCTTCGAACATTTTAAAATAATACACACAAAGAGGATAAGGTCTGCATTAAAAACAGCAAAGACAGAAAAAATAAATCCGTGATTATTCAGGAATGCCACATCAAAGAGAGATTAAAGGACAAATTCGCCCATTTTCCAGGAAGGGCCACAAACATGGTATCTGATGGTGTCACACAGGGACTCCTGGGGAACAAGGCAATACCCCACCCAGCTGACCTCTGGAAAGGTGACAGCAAACAGCCCTTTGCTCCAGAGACCCCATGTCAGACCCTTGTTTCCATTCTCACCAGAAATGCCCCCCAGCTTCAGACAAAAAGCTCACACTCCCTCCTGTCTCTGGCTGCCAGCTCCTGTCCACAGCCCCCACAGCCTGACCCTAAACGTCTTCCAAATCCAGTGCGTTGGGAGAATTTTATTTACTCTTGTATTTACTTTATTTACAAAATCTGCTGCTTTTGTCAGGAAGAGGAAAAAAAAAGAGTAAGAGGGGAGACAAGTAATTTGGAAAGGACACATCCCATTGGGAAGCTGTTAGGGAGGTGCTACAAGGAGGCACAAGAGAGAACAGACATCAGAAAACATGAAGATGGAGGAACTGCCACAGGAAAAGCACTGGAAGATGCTAATCCCCTCTTGGATGCACAGTAACTAACAAGTTTCAAACACCTGCAAGCTGATCACCCAGTCGTCTCTCCTGTCTCTTTCCATCCACCTCAGTATTTACTGTTTCACTTGCCAAAGCTACTGTTTTGACCAAAAAAAAAAAATCATCACCTTTTACAACTATAAGGGCTTCTGCAAAGCCAGATGAACAAAGGGTGGGGGAAAGTAAGGTGGGAAGAGGAGGAGAAACTTCTACTACAGCCTGAGATACCTTTGACTTAGGAGAGCAGGTGCAAGGCAAAGGGTTTTCTCCACTCATTACCTCCCCTTCTGCCTTGAGAGTCCTGTCCCAGCCCTTTTCCCAAAGCTGCTCAGCACCCAGGGAAGAGAAGCCCACGTACCAATTCGCCCTGCATCCTGCAGCTGGATTTTGAGCATCTCCATGGGAGTGGTGACAATCACCTGGCAGGTACCTGCGCCGCAGCCCGCCAGCATCTCCCTCAGCAGTGTCAGCTTCTTCCTGCCCCAAGAAAAGAGAGAAAGAGTCAGTCAGAGTAGGTGGCCTGGAACAACACTGCGGCAGCTCCCCGAGCAGGGGCTCAGGCACATCTCTGACCCTGGGGGTTATAGGAGAGGCAGCTCAGGGGAAAGGAGAACCTTCTAGGCTTGACAGGTCAGCATAGCCCAGACCTGGAATCTCTGCCACCATCACCTGTTCTGGAAGAAGAGATCCATTTTGTCACCAGAAACAGAACACTGAGAAAAAGCCACAAGCCCAGCTGGAACAGTCCCAGAAGGGAACACACAACCCTCTCCATGCCCAGTGAGAGAACTGCAGCTCTCTTCCAGGACAGCATTGCCCCGGTCAGGGCACAGCCTTTAGAAATTTCATCACTTCAAGGGGCAGCAGAGGACCTGAGAATTAGGAGGGATAAGCAGCTTTCCTTCTGCCAGCCTAGTCCTCTAAACATTGTCAACATCCCCCAAAACAAACAAACAAATCAAATGGCAAGAAGGGAAAATACCCCAGTTGCTGCTTTGGAGTTCTTTGACAAAAGCAAAATAAATAAACAGCAAACATGAGAGTCAGGGAGGCAGCTGCCCTGTGTTTAGGACCTTCTTTACCTCATCAGCCTTCCCAAACATGAAAAAGTAGCTTTTGTATTAAACTGGTCCTGCCCGAGGGATGAGGGATGGGATGGACCCCCATCACTGCAGCTTTGTGCATCCTCTGTGCTAGAGAGCAGCGATTATCAGCAACATGTTCTTGCCTAACAAAATGCAGCATTTCATAGCTCCCTCCATATCAAAGCCATGGAACAGCCTGGCTAAGACTAGAGAATGGAATTTAGGATGTAAATGCTCAGAAAGCTTCAATTTTTAGAAACTGATGAGTTTTCACCCTGTTAAAAAAAATCTCACCCCTTGGCACCAGAAAACACAGACTTGATTAAAAAAAGTGCCTCTGACCTGCTCTTTTCTAAAAAGGGAGGAAAAAGCAGCATATATAGATCGCACAGACAGAGGGAAACAGCCTCCTCTTCTTCTGTTTTAAATGCAAGTACTATTTTTACTCCCTCCAGCCCCGCTCCTGTGGCAATACCTCATCTTAACCTACTCAAAGCAAGTCACATGCTATGGCAGAAACAGTCCCACAATGGTATACTCTGTTCCCTTGCAAAAGGAATAGGGTCAAGTCATACTACCTTACCAGGGGTTCCATATGCACACACAGCACAGCTGTGGCACTGTGGGCCAGCAGAGAAGTTTCAAAGCCAGCCCTATAGGAAAGGGAGGGGAGATGCACTGTAATCCTGCTGACCCAACCACATCAGCCAGACCAATTTCTGCACTTCTCATCTTTTCCAGGGAGGATATTGGAGTAAGGGATTAGAGGCACAGAGCCACATCAGAGATTACCAGGGACTAAATATAGAGCTCTTCTGTGATGCTGAAGGGAGAAACATTTCACAGTCTCCCATTTCCAAATCACCCCATAGATGAGAAGCTGCAAAGAACAACCCCTCCGTTGGAGTTATCCATGGGGCCACTGAAGTGTGTGCAGCAATCTCTCCTGGAGGGTATGCAAGGGTGTGCAAATCCAGACGTCCTCGAGGTGGCCAAAACCAAAGGAGCCGGCTGCCAGTCTCCCTCTACAGCACAGCAGGGCAACTTCCGCTTCAGCAAGAGCTGTGGAGCATCCTAGCTTTCAGCCGGGGCAACTGCTTTGATACACAGTTCATAAGATCAGGAAGATTTGCCCTATGTGTTCATCTGTGGACCATTATGCCAACCAACAAAAGTCAGCCTGCCTTGACTGAACTCTATTAAGCTATGGCAGTGTGACCCAGCAAAGGATTTATGTGCATGGGTGTATTATAGAGATGTCAAACAGGTACATCAAAAGCATCTAGAACAAGGGCTTGCAGCTTTTGGTTTGCATATCCTGGGAACTGCAAGGAGTCCAATTTAAAAAAACAGCCCAAAGTAAGCACATCTTTTCTCACCCATTGCCATACAAGGGTCAAACTCCCTTTGCAAAACACCACCAGTCTGCACATAAAACAAGTTTGAAAATGGTTCATCTCTAGATAACAAAGGGGGTTAAATATTTAAGGCATCGCAGGTCTTATCCTTAGTAGTTTAAAAACTGGCGCATCTCAACTAACTTCAAAAGCTGCAACAACAGAAGAAGCTGGCCCTACAAATGCAGAAACCATCTTTTACCATAGCAAGAGGGTGTTAAATACAACATACACACAATACCCCCAAATTGCACACTGGCAAAAATCAGTTGTTCCACTTTTTAAACTAACACGTAATAATTAGTGACAAATTAACAATGTCAAGGGGTAGAAGATTCATGCTTGATCTAAATGAGAATTTCAAACTACAGCTGAAAAATAATAAAGTCAAAAAGCAGGAACTACAGGCTTATAAAAGTTTTTCAAGAGCAACACATCACTCCAAAGTCAGGATTTCTGAAATCATTGGAACATTGATGTCACATGGAAATAAATCAGGATTTTTTTTTGAGTTTCTGAAAAATGTTGTCTGTGTATGAGCTCACTGGACCATTTCCATAAACCAGCCATTCAAGAATAAGGCTGACAAGATTTCCAAAGACAGGAAATCCCTGACCTAAGGAAACATCCACATAAAGCCATGTTTTTATCTGCTACCGAAGAGGCTACTGTCCCCAGCTTCCTCACTCACAAAATTGCATCTCCTTCTGATCTCTTGTGCTGGCTTTGGCTGGGATAGAGTTAATTTTCCCCACAGTAGCTCCTATGGGGTGATGTTTTGGATTTGTGCAGAAAAAAAATGTTGATAATACAGGGAAGTTTTAGTTACTGCTTAGCAGTACTTACACAGAGTTAAGGCTTTTCTGCTCCTCACACCACCCCACCAGTGAGTAGGCTGGGGGTGCACAAGGAGTTGGGAGGGGGCACAGCTGGGACAGCTGACCCCAACTGACCAAAGGGATATGCCTGACTATGTGGTGTCATGATCAGCATCTAAAGCTGTGGGAAGACGAGGGGAAATATCCAGAATGATGATGTTTGTCTCCTCAGGCAACCATTACGCGTGATGGAGCCCCAATTTCCTGGACATGGCTGAACACCTGCCTGTTGATGGCAAGCGGTAAACGGATTCCTTGGTTTGTTTTGCTTGTGTGCAGCTCTTACTTTACGTATTAGAAGTAATTATATCTGTCTTATCTCAACCCACGAGTTGTCTCACTTTTCTGATTCTCGCCCCATCCCACTGTGTGGCAGAAGTGGGCGAGGGGCTGCATGAGGCCAAGCTGCCAACTGGGTTAAACCACAACATCTGTCAACCCAACAGATTGTAGAAGCTCCCCAAAAGTTTCAAACCAGAGAGAGCAAGGTGCTTTCAAACAATTTAAACAGTGGGTCTTTGGTATGGATTAGGGGACCAACACACGGGAGGTGTCCTTCAAAGGGAGGGCAATCTGTCAGCAAAACATGCCTCAGGCAAACAAAACAAAGCGCTGATGTGGGACAGATCCACCTCAAAGTAATGCCACCAGCTCTGGCAGATGTTTCTCCAGGTATGGTACAACCTACCTCTGGCTGCTCTGTGTTGCCATTTGGACTAAGCCAAGAGGAAGGTGACTTTGTGCCTGCACCCGTTAGATCAGGTTTGCTCTGGCAGGAGATCCCAAGTGTTTTGTTCCAATACAAATGTCTGTGGAAGTGAACAATGGACAGGGCAACACAACTGGGGCATGCTGAACATGGATATAACCCGTGTTTTGTCCCAAGACATGCACCTGGAATGGAGACAAGAGCAATGCTCCTTTCATGGGTGTATTCTGCGATCAAACAGCCCATCTCTAGCTCCCTCTAGATTAACAGTTATAAGTGCATTTACTTTCTGGCTTTGATGAACTTCAACCCACTGCAATTCCCTGAACCTGTACGCTAAATAAAAGTCCCACACACCCCTAGTAGCTATCCCTGAATAGTCATAATGAGATTATCAGCTCTGAACTGGCTCTTTCTCTAGGGGAAGGGCTGGATTCCCCCACCTAAAGTCCCAGTGGGTTGGATGAAGGTTATCTGCGTTAAGAAACGCCCATACATCCAGTGGGTAACTACAAGAGAGGCTGCCTTGGCTCACAAGGGTTCCGGCCCAGGGAAAGACTTAAGCACAGTGGCTGCAAGGTAACACAGCAGCTCAGCACCAGGACAAGCAGCATGCTCCCTCCTTCCTATAGAGAGCCTCACTTTATAGCCTGAGTATTCAGCAACTCAAGGATCAACCAGGCTGTGCAATGGCTACCTAAATACATGATGGGCTGAATTTTTTTTCAGAGAGGCTGAAAGAGGAGCAGATGAAGGAAGGAGCTCTGGGGAGATGCATCAGCTGTGAAGACAATAGAGAACAAGCTCCAGTCTCCCCATCTGCATGGGAAAAGTGCCTTCATTGTCTCAGGATTACAGTTGGCTATTTCTTATCTCTACAAAAAGCTACAAGGCAGGGGGAAAGAGAAAGTAAGAAAATCCGCTGGCATCAGCAAAGACACCATTAACACAACTGTCCTGGTCTTCCTAGGAATCCAAGCTGCTAAGTCAGCAGATTTCCAGCCTTTACTGCAGAACAGCAAACAAAGTGAAGGTCAAAACTGAACAGGACAGGAGATATAAGGGTATAACAAGCCTTGGAGAAGAGCAGCAGCAAACTTATCCAGGGACACTTGAGAGTTTTTATGAGCAAGAAATTGCTTTTATAAGAAGCCATGAGACACTTTTTACCACAGCCAATGCCGAGTACTTAACCGAGAACCTGAAAAATGCCCACAAAACCTGGAACACATGCCAAACACAACAACTGTCTGGCATCCACGCTTTGGAAATAAACATGAAATCTTGTAGGACACTTTAAAGGAATTCGTTTTTATCAAGTGTTTTGCACCCAAATTCAAATGAGGACATAGAAAGTAGTCAATACTTACATCGGTCAACGAGGCCTCACAAACTGAGCACCCAAAACTCAACAAATGCACGCTGGTGTACTACTGATTTGAATTGCTTTGTTAGCTTTATACCTAAGTGCTTCACCTACCCCTAGTGACTCCTTACGTCCTCTGCTTTGGACAACAAAGCTGCTGCTATTTTAACAGTAGTTGTGAGATTTTGGGTCTCTCAACACATTCAGCTTCAGAAATCTAGAGAAAAGAAAAAAATCCCATCTGTTTCCAGCTGCCTAAAGGTTTGAAGTTTCCCCTTCTCTTATATCCTGCCTTCCCCAGCCATACAGTCTATCCAGCACAGAGCACCACAAGAACCAGGACTTGGCTGAAGACTTTTCTGTGGGTCACCTCTTCTACTTCTTTTGGGAATCGCAGAGGCCCTCAGGCCAAAGTCATTACAGGATAATATTTGACCTTTATTGCCTTTCTCAATCAGGATCATGGGGTGCCCTTCATGTTTTTCAGTATTTTGTTTTTCCTCCTTTTCTCCAAGGCATAGCAAGGGGGTTTCTGCACTCATACAACTTGCTCATGCCTCCCTTGTTCCTAAATGATCAGGACAGCTTGGGAGGACCAACACAGTCTTGTTTCCTCATAAAAGAAGAAGCTGTGGAAGTAAGTTGTCATAATGGTCTTGACATCAAAACAGAAACAGGTAAAGAAGCAGAAACCCACTCCCCTAGCCTGTGAGCACATTCTTCCTGCACCAAAAAGAGAGGAAAAGCATTGCATGAGCAGAAATGTCCCCCCAAGCTGGTCCCAGGATAGAGAGATATGCAGGAATACACATCTTCAGACTGAGAGATTGGTGCACCAAAAGGGCACGAAGTCCCATGTGAGGTCCTACTGCCCCACTACTCTACCTCTAGCAGCATCCTAGAGCATGGCCAGGGAAAAGGGAATCTAGCACACACCTGTTGTGATACATAGAATCATCCCCAAGATACTCTTCCAGCAATTTGCAGCCAGGAGCTTCCTACGCCACAGATGTTGTTTTCAGTCTGGCCTTTTGAAAACACACTTTATGCCACTTCTTTTTTTTTCCTAACAGTTTAAAAGCAAGTTCATTTCAACTCGTAAGTTTTAAAAAGGATTAAAAAAATGCACACTAGAAGTTGTTGTGTAACTTGAGGCTATTTTGGGTTATGCTGTACTTACCACACTCTCTGGTCCTTCTTCCACTTGCACATGCAGGACATACTCAGCATATTTTAATTAGCAAATACAGATAAAACATGCATGTTTTATCAGACAAGGATCTCCAATCCAGGCAACACATTTCAAGGAAATCAAGTGCTAGAAGCTTAGCTTCAAAGGCATTCAATGTCAGAATGTCTAGAAGCCTTTTGCAGCTCTGAGTCAGAAAAGCACCAGAGCATCCTTTGGGATGCTGGCCTAAGAGCACACCATACAGTGAATGTATAGCAGATAGTCTGTCTTGTGCAAACAGCACTTTAGTGGAGCTATTTGTGGAGCTACCAAAATCTTGGTAGCTCAGCATAAAAAAAAAAAGACACCAGCCTTACACTGAGCTTAACTCCGTCAGCTGCACTTTACACCATATAACACCTTCACTGTTGCAATTACACATCCAGAAATTAAACCACATTGACATGCCAGGCATCCTGAATCTTCACCTTTCTAACCCTGCACTCTTTTGTTATTCATACCTAGGTTTTGACTGGAGTTGCGAAATAGGTGGCCCAGCCTTGTGATGTGCTAGCAGGTATGTACCCAGTTTTGCCCTGGCTAGGAGATGAGTTTGGATTCCAGCACTGCTAATCCTGCCCCGTCTTACAGAGACAATTGAGGAGGAGGGGACAGAAGCATCTCAAGGGAGAAACTGGCAGACTGCAAACAGCTTGGAAAGAGGGTAAAAGCAAGGCAAACCCTTAGGGGGGACACAGCTTCGTGTGTCAATTAAATGGCCCCTCGCCATCACTTCTATTTGTCATGTGCAACAATAGAAGATCTTGTGAACTGCCAAAGGCAACATGCAATGACTGCAGCATGGTCAGGCACAACCCTTCCAGCAAGTTACATTCTCCATCTCCAGGCCTGCGATTTCCCTAGCACGAAGAAAAATGATTCAAAAATAAGCAGCTGCCCTACAGTTTCTAAGGGCACCTATCCCCACTGGTAATGTCATGGCCTTTTCCATCACCCCCTGCTCCCAATGTACTAAGCAAGGTCACAATATGCACCAAAACTTCCAGCTAGATCATAGGTTCACAGCCTATGCCAGCCACAGCCAGCCTGCAAGGCGCTTTCTTTTGCATCACATCTTGGACTGACATTTCTACTCAGAAACACCTCAAACCATCTTTCACAGCAGTACCGCAGAGAGGCTCTGCCTCTCTGTCCAGCTCATGCTGTCTACCCTCATAAGCAGAGCTGACAAGATTTCATTCATGTGAGCCCCTCATAGTAGATGAATGAGATGAGTGACTGACTCCACATGCTGTATAGCTTTTGTCATCTAACCGTGGCCCAACCTTTCTTTTCCCTAAAGGAGTAAAGAATGCTTAATGCTTAATGTCCTGACTACCTGAGTGGTATCACGCTCCTGCTCCAGGTCACTGTAGTGCCAGTCCCATCAGTGCATGTTTTAGGAGAACAGCGTGTCTTAGTCTTGCCAAAATTCTTTCTCCCCTTTATTCTGAATCGAGCACAGCACATCATCTATGGCATGTGTGGATCAGCCAGGAACCCAGAAGTCAAACTGGAAGATGCCTGGGTGAAGACCTCAGCTGCATCCCACTTACCCAAACACTTGCTCAAAGCCTGTCTCAGCACTGAGAGGCCAACACACACATTTGTTCCATGAGGAAGTCTATATGTCTCATGGAGCAGAACATGTCATGTTTTAATGGCTGAAACATCACAGCAGTAATTGTTCTCACATAACACCAATACATTGTCATGGTGGTCTGCTCTCTTTCATGGGCCACTCTCTCAGTGGTGGTACAAGGAGAGGCAGCTTTGTCTTTCCAGTACCATCAACTAAGCTTTGTCTTTCCAGTACCATCTCACCTTATATGTGGTGGCAAAGGGCTAGCTGTGCTCCTGTTTACTGCAGTATGCCAAGGCCCACCGTGTTGTCTGCTGCAGGGATCACACCCACCACTTGGTAGAAGTGAGGCGCAACGAGGACATTGTTACCTCCCACTGTCTGAGCAGAGCACAGAACAGACACTATTTGAAGAGACAGAAAAATCACAAGCAGCTGCAAGCTGATGAGTCACACAGACATATGGTAGCTGCTACTTTAAAAGACTCCAGAACAAAAAAAGTTAGGTACATGAAAAAACTAGATCCCCAACCTGTGTCAGTCCACAATCTCCACTGACGTTGTTCAGCCACTCATCTCCAGCAGTGGAGACTGATGTGGTACGTTATGGGAAGCTGTTAAATCAAGTAATTGCGGCAGAGCTCAGTGTTTTCAGTGAGTGAGGATCATATCCCAAGCAGGCTGTTTTCTAACTACTGTCACTGAGAACTGGAGACAGTGCCATTCACCGGCTGTCTCTGCAGAGAAGTCTCTGTCTGAAGGGAGACACAAGTGTTCTCCAAATTGCAGAGAAAATGTCTTGGTGAAAATAACATTAAACATTCAGGGTCTATCTCCTCTCAGCTGCTCAGTTAGAGTCATTTACTCTGTTGTGGTTTAAACCCAGTCAACAACTAAGCACCACACAGCCACTTGCTCACCCCACAAGTGCAACAGGGAGGAGAATCAGAAGGTGGCAAAACCCCACAGGTTGAGGTAAGAACAATCCAATAATTGAAATAATGTGAAACATAGTAAGAATAGAAATAATAACAATAATAATAGGAAAAAAAGAAGAAGAGGAATAAAACTTGGGAAACACAAGTGATGCACAATACAACTAACTGATGCTCAGCCAATCTACCGAGCAGAGATCGGCCCCTCCTGGCTAACTCCCTCCAGTTTATATACTGAGCATGATGTGCTGTGGTATGAATATCTCTTTGGCTAGTTTGGGTCAGGGGTCCTGTCTCTGCTCCCTCCTGGCTTCCTGTGTCCCTCCTCACTGGCAGAGCATGAGAGACTGAAAAGTCCTGGATGTAGGGTAGGCACTACTTAGCAAAAACTAAAACATCAGTGTGTTGTCAACATTATTCTCACACTAAAGCACTGTACAAGCTACTAGGTAGACAATTTACTCTATACCAGATGAAACCAGGATATACTCACATTTAATTCATATGAACTAACCACCACTTGCAAGCTAAGCAGATAATTTTATTCCTTCAGCATTTATTTGCAGGTCAGCTGCTGGGCAACACTGCAAGTGCCCTTTATCAATTCAGGTTCACTACTTCTCTAAAATTGTTTTCAAGCTACAAAAGGACAAGAAAGACACTAAGTTTGGGGTCTACAGAACTTGACCTTGCCATCTGTTCAAGCCAGAAAGAGCGTAACAGAATCCAATAGGATGCTGAAAATAAGGGTCCTCCCACCAGCTGTTTCAGTGATCAGTGCCAGTGGGCTCCTCTCAAGTATTTTGCCTACAAATTCTGGACCTGCTAGCCTTGGCTTAGATCTGAGACTATTTTTAGAAGCTTGAATAAAAAGCAGTCATCCAGTGGAATGCTTTTCACTTCCCATTTTAGACATTACATCCTTAGCCCAAATGGAATCACCAGCTGAGCCATTCAAGGTTCAGTCGTATTTCAGTTGTCACATCACCCCATTTGACCTTTGCCCTGACACCTTCACCAGACTTGTCTTTTAAGTTGAACATGAAGGGTCTGCACCCCCTACTCACCCGTCCTTGGAGAGGTGGTGCCGGAAGAAGTCATTGGCTGCCAGTTTGATGGCCTTTTCTGGTGTAACCAGAGTCAAGTTCACTGCAGCCCCTGAGCAAGGAAAAGAGGAAAAGGCCATTGGAGAACAAGAATAAAAGAACCATTAACTGGATCTTTCAAGAATACTTGTAACTCCAGCTCAAAACCAAGGACTTAGGAAGGAGAGCTCCCAAAGCACCAAAGGGGTTAGGAAGCATGAAACACCCCTGGAAATTAATAGCATTTCTGCCTCCCCACACCTTGGGTTTTTCAAAACATCCTCTGATGTGTTTCTACTCCATTTGCAATGCTTTTTGTAATTTCTTTAGCTTCAGTACTACCTCTCCACCATGCAAACATGCATCCTCTTCTCTCATCCAAGTATGCATTCCTAAGAATCCAGAAGGATGCAGATCAGACCTTCAGGAAAGGAGTGTAAGTTGATTTAATGACCATTCCCAACTCCCTTACAAATATTTTGCGGCCGAGAAGTGAAAGCCCCACAGCCCATGTTTTTGCTAGTGCTCCTGCACCACTACCACCAAAAGCAGATCAATTTGCTTACCGGGCAGCCAAGAAAAGGCAGAGCCACTGAAAGACCTAGAGGCTGGTTAGTCAGCTGGCTCATCTGCATGGAAGTCAGCCAGCTCTAGATCAACCCTTGCATATCACCACTGGGTGTCACCCTCAGAACAGCCACAGCTGAAAAGTGGCTTTTTGTCCACCACAAACTGAAGGGTGCAGAAATTCCCCTCTGAGCACCATGGCAAGGCTTGCTGGGGTACCTGGAGTGTAGACAAGCCTTGGCTTCACCACCAGCTCCCGCTGGGTTGCCCCTTTGTCAGGAGCAAATTCCTGTATTGTGCCTGCCACAATGAAAGGTCTGCGTGGCCTGGCAGGCTGCTGTGGGCCATGGACACCAGTATTAGTGCAACACAGCAGCTGGGAGGCAGCTTTCAAGCTGTCCTCAAAAACACGTGGTGAGGAGAGGGTCAGTCCCTTCTGAACATACTAGGTTTTGCAGCACTGTATTAACACACTCCAGAATCTTCTCCTTCCTTTAGATCTTATAGCTCAAAAGGTCTTCCAGTGGATGACTGCAAGCTCTCTTTGCCTGCACTGAAGCATTCCGAGTTCTAATGCCCCCAGAGCAGCTTTACTGGAGACTTCCTAATGGCCTATGAATATCTTTGCAAGGACAAACAGAAAAGCTAGCATATACCTTTTGCCATTATGCTTATGGCAGAGATTTAAACAACTTGCCCCAAACCTCTGTTTTCCAAAAAGAAGCAGGGAAGCCTGCACTTCCACTAGGCTTTGAACACTTGGGATTAATCTTCAGAAGCTCTGAACCTGAGTTGACAGGAGCTGTGCGGGCTCAACACACCTAAAGAAAGGCAACTCAGTCTTCTGACCCTCAGGATGGACTCCCCTCCCCCCCCCCCCCCCAAATGTTAAAGAACTCCTAAATTAGACATGGAAATACAACGGGTTTGGGAGAACTTTCCTCAGATTAGGTAGCAAAACTGCAGCTGGGACTTCTGGGACCAGTACAACTGGGACCGAGACATGAGAAACCTTGGCTCCACATCCTCTCCTCAAAGGACACATCTCCAACATGTGGGAAATAGCACAAGAAAACAGACAACTTTGCCATGCAGGGCTGTGCAGCCCAACACATCTCCCCCTCTTCCAACTGCCATGTTCAGATTTCACAGAAAACAGAGTAACCCTGCCTCGCAGCAAATCAAATCAGTGCATCCATTCCACACTGGCCATGACACCCAGCAAATGCCATCATCTTCTACAGGAGCCAAATTACCTACCCAGGGAGCAGGGTAGCCCTCTCATACTCCAGAGATTTTGCAGACTTCAAAGTGTACCAGTGACTGCACTGCTTCAGTTTGATGTGCTTCCTACACATCATATGCCCCTGCCAAGACTCTTGCATGTGATGAGAAGCCACACAGACATGACCCACATGCTCTATCTCCACTTTTAATGTCAATCACATCAGCATCTACAAAGCAAATCCATGAAGCCCGATTTTTATGTGGAAGTGGCTACCCATGAAGTGTTTCCTGGAAATGCACTTGAAGACAGCTTCAACCCCACTCCTAATGGCTAGAAGGTAAAACACCAGTATATAACTGCCATGCAGCATGAATAACCATTTCCTTGGCAAAACAAGGAGAAAAAGAGAGAAGAATAAACCTGCTAATCTAACACCAGGGCAAACGGTTCACTGAAAGAACAAACAAACTCCAAAACATCAAGGAAGAAAGGTAAGCAAGAGGTACGCTTCCATGTGCTGACCTCCTCCAGGAGCCAAGAGGCTTTCACAGTAGCTCCTCCTTCAACTGCAAATAATATAGAGGGCAATAACACCCAACATACAGAGGAAAGTTAATGAACCTGGGTTTTCTCCTACATCTTTGATATTTTCAGTAAGCTCCTTAGCAGAGAATGGATAATCCCTGTCCTCAATAATCTGTAACAGCTTCAATTCACTGGAGGAGGAGAAATCAGATACTCCAGCTGCTGGCTATATGCTTTCCATGGCATTTTCTAAATCTCCTAGCTCTTCAATTCTCACTATGCCAATGACTATTTCCCTAACTAAAGCTAACCTTGGCCTATAGGCAACACTACAGGTACCAGAAGCAATGACACACAAACAGGTTGCAAAAGTAAATTACTACCATTAAAAAACAGAAAATATTTTGCAAAGAAGTACAGAAGTACTACAAAGAATAAAATAAAATACAGTCAAAACCAGCTGTTTGCCAACTGAACTCGTTAAGTGCCCTCTTCTCACCAAGCCTTGGGTTCCGTTATTAACACACATTTCTCATAAAAGGCATATATGCCACCAGCAACCTCCACAACAGCAGGACTGATTCATACCCAGCATGGCACTGGTGCAATATGGAAGGTATTATTAGCAGAGGCTGGGGAAGGCTGCCACACTATGGTAGCTGAACTGTAGCTACCCTCCAAATGTCACCAACAGCAAAGGGCATTTCCCCAGCCTCATTTAGGCCTTTGACTTGCCAGCTAGACTAAACAGCTGGTCTGCAAATAGCAGTGGGACTTCCAGGATGCCTGCTGGGACCTGTAAGTGGCTTCTGCATGGACTGTAGCAGGAAACAGTGGACCTCTCCAACGTACCTTTCCACTGATGTCCACATGGTCCAGGAGCCCACAGGCACCATGGATTCACTTGCTTGGCATCATGCCTGAAGGCAGCATGCTGTTGTCCCCTGAGCACAGACAGGGCTAGACAGCACCACTCAGCTTTGCGGCACTGTTCCTACCTAAATGTTATGGAAAAAAAACCACGAGAAAAAACACTATTTTTCCTCCACCAAGCAAATGTAAGAATTCCTGTAGCTTGGGAGAAATACTGGGACTGCCTTACGCATCACACAATTCACTACGGCTACTCATAGAGAGCAAGGACTGTCTGCCTACATACCCCCGCTTAAGAAATGATTTGCAAAAAAGTATCCTACTAGCTCAAGCCTCTCCTCTATACTGAGGAGCTTTGATTGACAGGTGAGGGAGACCTGGAACCACACAGTGGGAATGGCTGCACCCAAGCAGACCCTTTCTGTCGTCCAACTGAGGCCAAGCACCCTGTGGGGAAGACTGACGCAGTTGTGACTCCTCCATGGGGCATGGCAGGTGGCACTTCAGCACATTAACATATAATCCTCCCAATTTCAGCTTAAAGGCTGCAAATAAGAGCTTATGAGTCACCCCTAGCTTCTGCTGGGGAAATGGGACAGACTGAGGGAGCAGGAACCAATCCACAGTCTTGATTTCCATCTTCCCCTGCCTGCAAGTCTGAGCTGTCTCTTTACCTTCTTCCAAGAAAATTACTCACACATTCTTCATGAATATTGGATGTATTTTATTCACCTATCCTCTCCCCAGGAGGGAGGGAAGGGCTGCTAATGTCAGCTCACAGAACTGAGGCACAGAACTGGGACTGCTGTACTTGGAGGACTCACCTTTGCACCCTGGCCACTGTGAGATATCTATGAATTTCTGGAGGTATTGACAGAAGCCCTTTCCTAAAACCAGCTCCCCATTTAATCCTAGAAGGTGACAGGTAAATCCAAGCCACTCTCAGCTCCCTGAACAGAGAGGTACAAAGTTAGTGGGACATGGACCAAGCTGACCAGACTCATTATGGCTTGGAAAAGCAATAGCTATGCAAAACCCACTGCACCCTTTGAGACTTCCGCTTGGGAGTGAAAAGTGGCCTGGAGATACACATTTCCTCCAGCACCCTACACCTTACAGGACTGATCTGTCTCTCCCAAGTACCCTGTACCCAAGTACCTACAGTCTCATCTGTAAGTTTCCAAGACCCGCTTTTTCCTTCTGCTCCCCGCCAATCAGCCTGCCACTGCATATTTACACCCAAAGTTAATGTAGGCTCTGTTCCCAGCTAGGAACAGAGGCAGCCAGCTTCTGGGAAAAATCAAAGGGGAGCATGTCACTGCTAGCACTGAAGAAAGACCTTGCCAGGGTTCCTCGGGGTTATTTGTCTTGTTTCCTGCTCCCACGAAAGCTGGAATGAAGCAGCCAATCCATCCCCAGCATCCACTGCACTCCCCCAAAACGCCCACCAGCAAGTTGGGCAAGAAACACTGCCTCAACAGCCAGCACCAGCTCCCAGGCTGGCTGGCGGCAGCGGCTGTGACTCCTGAGGAGCTATGGAAGAAGTGGCAAGAGACGCCAACAGCAAGGTACCAGCATCTCTGGACTCCCACTTGAAATAACAAAGAGCAGGGACTCAGTTAATCGAAGCACTACTTTAATCAGGCTTTACAAGCGAATGGGTGCCACAAAGAATGCTATCAGAATGCCTCAGAGGAAAAAAAAAAAAGGCATATTCAGGCAATTGAATACAAGTATATAAAATGAACCAGAGCTCAGTGTTAAGCCAGCTGGACTGTGCCAAAAGCCAAGAAAATATTCCACATTTTCCTCTCCTACGAGTAAAGTCAGAATTTGGCCTGCTGTTCCCCTCTCCTCAAAATCTTCAAAAACTTTCAGTGACTTTGTGTTTAAACTCGAAAAGGTACAATGTTAGCTGAGGAACTCACTCCTGCAACAGACAGTCTAAGCCACAGAGCCAGGAGATTGCTAGCAGGTTAGCATACAACAACCAAACACCTGAAGCTCTACCATGAGCAAACCTCTGATTTTCTTATCACCCCAAGGGAGTTTCTTTCTGGAGAAAGGTTAGCTTTTTTTAATTGCAGCTTATCTATCTTAATACTTGAACAAAGCACTCAGGCGTGCTTGAGAGACAGCTAGTTTTGGAGATACCTTGTCAATGAGATGGGACAGCACGCCTGACCATGTTAGTGGTGGGCTTTGACATAAATTGAATCACCAACCACAAAAAAAGACACTTCAAAAGGTTTGCTACTGCCCCTCTGACAAAAGTTACTATGCCCAAACTGGGAAACACACACACACAGTCCTGAAACAAAGCCCAGCAGCTTCACTTAAACTGCTCGTAAAGATTAACTTCAGTAAATGGTAAGGTTTAACACCAAAACAGCCATGGAGAGGACTCAAGTACTCAACGGTGGAGAGCTCAGCAGACAGCTAGCATGAAGGAGTTTATTTTCAGAAACAGATGCACCTTTCAACATCTTATGATATTGCTAGGTTATTGCTTTGTAAGCCTGAGAACATGCGCTTTTCCTCCCACTTATGCACAAGTGCTTCAACCACAAAATATGCGCCATGCCTGACTCAGCTTTACTTACCTCTGTACATGCCAAAGTAGCCTTCCGACCTAATTGTTTTAATGAGGCAGTCAGACCTGCGGACAAAACAGAGATAGATAAACTACAGGGGCTCAAAGGTGGTTGACAGCAGAGAAAAACAAAACAAATCTCTTGGAGTGATTTTCATTTCTGATCTGTCAGCAAAACCCTGAGCTGAGAAAAGAACGACGTCAGCCTCTGAATGCACCATTGTTCAGGCCCCAGTCAAACTTTAGCCCCTAATTCACTGGGGCTTTGAAACCCCCGCCTCACCCTGCATGCGCTGTCTGCTTTCTAGAAACACAAAGGGAAAACTGTCACTGCAAGGGCTGTCTATCCAGGGTCCCCTGTGGCAAATGTGCACGAGATGCTTCAACAAGCAGATCCCCATGCACATGATTTTAAAGCCAGTTCTGGAAGGGAAAAAAGGGGAGGAGGGGGGCAAAACCCCCAGTGCCCAGTGCTGACTTTCTTGATTTACTCTGTGAAATCTGACACAAGCACTAGATGACCCAAACACTCAGTCATCTGTGATCTCCCATGAAGATTAAAGCACTTACTTTTAATACATCAGGTCCCACAGCAGGCAGAGAGCACTCAAGCTCTTGTCCTGGGGAGAGTGAGGCAGAGTGCCGTGGAGGTGCATTCCAAGGGGAAAACTGTTGCTTTGTTCAACTACATTTGCTGCAATTGGGAAAACTGAAGACTTTTCAAAATCACAGACACACACCTAACAAGTCTAGAGGCACAGTTCAGGAAGGCAGTGGAGACCCCCTGGCAGTGTTTCCCTCTCTAGACCACAGCTGCAGAGGTTTGGGAACACAAGGAGTAAACTTTATCTCTGCTTTGTAGTAGTGCTGACGTGAGAGAGAAGGAAATAAGAGTTCCATTGAGGGCATTATGGCCTACTTGGGTCAAGGCTGTTCTAGGGTACCGCATGTTATCTGGGCTACAGAACTGACGGATATGGGCAGAGCATGGTCTACCTGGACTTGTGCAAAGTGTCTGACACTGTCCTCCTGCATGCCATCCTTGTGTCTACATTGGAGAGACATGGATTTAATGGACAGACCACTCGATGGATAAAGAACTGGCTGGATGGCTGCATGCAGAGAGTTGCAGTCAATGGCTCAATGCCCAAATGGAGTAACGAGTGGTGTCCCTCAGGGTTGGTGTTGAGACTGATCCTGTTCAACATCTTTGTGAGCAACAAGGACAGCAGGATTGAGCACACCCTCAGCAAGTTTGCTGGTGACACCAAGCTGTGTGGTTCGGCTGATAGGCTGGAGGGAAGGAATGCCATCCAGAGGGACCTTGACACGCTTGAAAGGTGGCCAATGCCAACCTCATAAAGTTCAACCAACCCAAGTGCAAGGTCCTACATCTGGGCCAGGGGAATGCCAGGCACAGCTACAGGCTGGCAGAGAAGAGATTTAGAGCAGCCCTGAAGAGGACTTGGGGGTGCTGGTCGATGAGAAAATGAACATGAACTGGCCTCAGTGTGCACTCACAGCCCAGAAACCAACCGTATCCTGGGCTGCATCAAAAGGAGCATGACCAGCAGGTCGAAGGAGGCGATCCTGTCCCTCTACTCTGCTCTCGTGAGACCCCATTTGGAGCACTGTGTGTAGTTCTGGTGTCCTCAACATAAGAAGAACATGGAACTGTTGCAGCAAGTCCAGAGGAGAGCCATGAGGATGATAAGGGGGCTAGAGCATTCATATCCAAGCTTTGTTGCAGATTCTCAGGAGGAGCCAGCTCAAATATACAAGTTAAATCCTGTGTATTCCTTAATGGCACCTCATACCACAACAACTCCTGGCTAGGGACCAGATCTGCACTTGACTCCTGGAGGTTAAAAGCCTCTCCCCTACTGAGCCCCCCTCCAGAGAGAAGGATCCTGGCATGCCCTCCTAAGGGGACCCCACATCCTGCCCAAACTCCTGTTCCTGTTGCCAGGGAGAGAAGTGATCCTCAGGGAGGAGAGGCAATCGGCAGCTGCAGCAGGCACAGGACAAAACAAAAAGGAGAGGCAAGGCAAGACAGGGGGCTGCATTCTGCCAGCATGCCTGTACACAGTGCAGGGAGCAGAGAGGGCTGTAACTGTCAAGGGAAACAACAGTCACCGTGACATGCCAGAGCCTACAGCCTAAGCTCATGCATAATTGCATGTTGTCAGCCACAGCAAGGAGGCACGGAGACTCAAACCATCAACATACAGAGCATTTCCTTCCTATTCTCAGTCTGCCTAAAATTCTTCTGGGCAGGAAAGAGGAAAATACTGGTAACACTACTTTCAAACACAGTGGCAGGAGGACGAGACAAAACTTGTCAGTCCCAGTCCCTTCTCCCCCCTCAGTGACACCAGTACTTTTGGAAAACTAAGGCCTGACTCTGGTTCCTACAATAAAGCATCTTGTGCTGAGTGTGGTTCACATTCCCACAGCAGACACAAAGCCCTAGGCATCCCACACAAATCCCAGGTGAATTTGGCAGGCCGTATGTATTTATGCCTCCTTCTCCCACTGCACTTGATTATTTTGGACTCAGGACTGCTGGATAACTACAGCATGTGTCAACCTTTGAGCCTTCAAAAGGTCTGTATGCAGTGCTCTAGACTGGGAACAAGTGACTGCTTCCTCTTTTTAAAACTGACACAGCAAATGAAGGACCTGCAATAAGAAAGTGATGGAAACAGAAGAGAGGTAGAAATTCCCTCATGCACTCAACTATGGCCCAGCAGAGAAACAAATTGTCTCCTTGTGTTTTGGTCCTGTGCCCTGACAGCAATGATCATGCCATCCCTAAAGCAAGGGATAGAGATGTGCCCTCTGCAGAGATCTCACCTGCTGGGCTCTACAGCTTGAACAGCTGCTTTATTTGCTTTATCTGCCCTAGCACAGCTTGGTTCAAGATTGTCCCGTCTTTTCTGAGGAGAGCCCAGTTCCTAGAAATGCTGAACTCACTTGAAAGAGGTAACAAAGTGGAAAGCCTCCCTGCTGGAAGCCCCAAGGGATGCTGCCCATGCAGGGGTACTCACATGCTGGTGTACAGACGCTGGCCATTCTGCTGGTTCTGCAGGCGAGTTTTTGCCAGGTCAATGGGAAATACACAGGTGACCCCGATCAGCCCAGCTATCCCTCCATTGATCAGCTTGGCAGGTAAACTGTAAGGGGAAGAGGCATAGAGAAACAGATTTCTTAGCACTGGGATAATGTCAGAGGAGGGAAAGAGGAAAGAATGGAGCTCTTCTGGATGACAAGAGTTAACACATCTCTGTGTGACAAGGCTATCCTCCTCCCATAGCACGAAGGGAGCTCTCAAGGCAAAGCTTGGCTCCTGCTGTTCACAGGTGGGAAGATGGGAAAGCAGCATTTAGCATCAGGACAAACCACTGAGTAGTGGAGTGGAGGCAAACAGCTAAGCTACACATCACTAAAAACATGAAAAAACCCTGTTCGCCAGGACCCAAGGGTTTCTGTTGTTCCTAGAGGAGAAAAGAAGACTGCTGAACCATCTCACAACATAAACCAACTTGAGTTAGGGCCTGACGGCACCCAACCCAGAAGGTTTACTTGCAAATGCTTTTTAGCACCACAATCAGATACGCATCTAATGAGAGGTTCATGACATATCAGCTGCTACCATCATGTGGGAGTGAGCCCAGAAGCGCCCAGCTGGCAGCTGAGGAGCAGACGGCTGCAGCTCCAGGAAACTGTTTCCAGACCCACCGCCCAGGGCCAGGGGAACACACACAAACCAACAGCACAACAAAACCACCAGACCAGCAGCCTGCATGGCTGCAGACACAGAGACATGAGCTCATACCTCTCAGGGAAGTCAAAACCTGGCTGGCTCCCTGTGCTTCCAAAATGGGGGGGTCTTTTCTGCTCGCCTTTGTGTTCTCACAGGGAATTCCTGCAAGTGGTGCTGACTGAAAGCCAGATCACCTAAATATGGGTTTCCAGCAAATTCTATTACAAAGAGTGTCCAGCACTTTTATGCTTGACAAACCACTACACACAGAGACAGAGGAAGCCTGTTTGACTCAGCTCCCTCCAATAAAGCAGAGGATATGGCTCCTTGAACACAGGACGTGTCGGATATTAAACTGATGGCAGTCCTAGATTGCAGCTGGGAGTCAGCAAGGCTGAGGCCCCCCATGGCAGGAAGTGGCATGCTGCCTCTCATGACAGTGACATGATGCTTTGGATGGGGACACAGACTGCATTACCCATCGGAAGCCGCAGTGGCAAGGCCGGCCATGGCATAGTGGGGTGAAGCTCTGCAAACACATTCCACCCAGCAGCACTGCCGAAAGGATCAATAAGCAGCCATACTGAAAGAGCTGCCCCTCAGCTCCAGGCAAGGGGGGTTGGAACTTGATGATCTTAAGGTCCTGTCCAACCCTAACTATTCTCTGATTCTATGACTCAGGGTTTCAACTTGAGGTCTCCCTGAAGAAAGCAAACAAAAGAGGGGTAGGAAAAGAAAAAAAAGTCTTAGGCCACAAGTGCATGACCTTGACACCCCAGGAAACTCTGTTCAGCCTCTGCTCTCTGCAGCCAGAGCTCTTTCCTCCTCAACACCTGCACCAATATAGCATGCACACATGGCCCCAGGGCTGGCACAGCTGGAAGAAGAGGTGCCAAAGACAGACGGACAAACCTGAGCTCAGCCCACACCCCCAAACAAGACTGTGCTGACTGAGATTAAATCAAGCACAGTACATTAGGAAGGCAGGCCCAAATCAGTGCATGAGCTCAACACAGGGCCAGACTGCAAGATCTCACCAGCTCGAGACTCTGTTGCCTCAGGGATCTCTGCACCACAGTCTGAGAAAGGAACAGATTTGCCTGCAAACTCCTATGCTCAGCTTCTCAGGACATGGGAAAATTCCAAACAGTGAGCTTCATATCATGGCACGCTCCTTACTTAACCCACAGTCATACTGAAAGAGGAGGTTAGAGACCAGATAAAAGCATGTCAAGATGGAGACACCTCTGGGAAGGAGGGTGTCTCAAGACAGGATCACATCAGCATCCCCAAATTCAGCTCTGAAGTCACTGCTGGCAGGTCACAGACTTCAAAGCACAATCAGTGCCCCATTTCAGCCTCAGCACTGTCTTCTCTTCTCTAAGTGTCCCTGAAACACCTGGGCCCACAGACACCTGCCTCTTTCAAACCTGTTCCAACAGTGAAATCATCACAGGGTTTGTATCAGGTGGGAGCAAGGCAGAGACACTTGGCAAACATCTTGTCTGCTGGCACCGTAAGTGCCAAAGATTCCTCAATTTCAGCACAGACCCCAGAAAATGAGGAAATAACCTGGTGTGCCCAGGCAAACCAAACATTTGGGCAATGGGAGCTGCAGAAAGCCTTTCACTCTGCAGGTGAGAAACCCTTGCTCAACACCCACATCACACCTAAAACCAACTATCCAGGTTCCCCCAACCACACTGTAGAGGGAGACCATCACAGATGGACTGTGCAGCAGTGTCTGGTGAGATGCTGAGATCAAGTTCCACATGCACTGCTGCTGAAATGCAGTGCCCTTGATCTTACCTTGCAGCAAACTGCTGCTGTGGATTTTAGTCTTTTGGTATCAGTCTCATCTTGCTAAGGGGTGACAGATGCATGCTGCAAGGGAACAGGGGTTCAGTAGATCCTCCAACCTTAAACACATCTCCTTGGCTCAGCTGCCTGTGACCACTGTAGACTTGTAGTCACCTAGATGGAAGAGATAACCTAAGCGGGAGAACTACGGGATTTTGGGCACAAAGAATCTGCAATAGAGGGCACTGTACCTGAATCAAAAGCTTCTTCCCTTATGACTAAGTCATCCCACTTTTCATGTCAGTGTTCCCTGCTCTCTCATGAGGCAAGAATCCACTGTGCTTTGTCTCTCTGTCCTATTTAGCTTCTGCACAGCTGCTGCCTCTCGCTACCAAGGTGCACAGGGCTTAGTGTAGCAGCGACAACACAGGCGAGCATACAAATAAAGCTGTTTTCTCAGTTTAATACAAGAAGGCATCCCAGTTCTAGTGCTCCTCCTCAGCCCTTTTACCTAGTCCCTGTAGCCAGCAAGGTCCTGTTTACACTGCTGAGAGCATATTGGAGGGGATGGGGGAGATCTTGGAGGACGTGTCTTCCCTTCCTTCAAAATACTAAGCTTCAAATGGCCATGGACAGGTGGTCCTTTTAGTCTTCCACGGCTGTCGGGGACATACACTCATCAGGCTCCATGGAGGTGAATCTCAGCATGCCCTTCATGGGTGTATGAGAAAGTGTGTCAAGTACTCTCTAGACTGGGCAGCATGATGAGCAAATAAACACTCCACAATGCTGTCTTGTTATCAGCACAGCTCAGGATTGCTTTCCTTTGCAGAAGGCAGGCATGCAGAAAGATATCCTTATCATAGTAAGCACTAAGAAGGGGCAGCCCTCTTGCCTGCAGGATTCAGGCATTGCCAAGTCCTGGCCATCTGTCACCAGATTTCATTCACCCACTGACCACTTTCTGTCCTGAGCTGGTAACCTGGAAAAGTAGATGTTAGAAGAGGACCACAAAAAACCCCCACAAGAATCCCACAGCATGTAAGAGTCATTTAACTAAAGCAGCTACTCAAGCAGCAGAAAGCTAAACCACATGCAGGACTGTGCAGATCAACCTAACACAGCTCTTAAGAACCTAAGGGTACAACTCTATCTTTCCAGAAAATGCATCCCAATTCATCTCCAGGAAGGACTTATATCCAGCCTTTGCATATGCAAGGACCAATGCTCTTAAGTTCCTGCTGCACACTTAAGTGTCGATAATTATTGTTGGTACTTCATGATCCTGCGATCACTCAAGCATTGACTGGCTTTAGAAGAGGGGCAAAAGGCTGCATCTATGTGGACTTTGTCATTACAAGCACTGCATCCTTGCTGGTCAGGGAGCTGGCTTTGCTCCCCTGACGTCAGCAAACTGAAGTCAGCAGGTCAAACTGACCTTTGAAAAAGGAAGCAAAACCGAACAGACTTGTGCAGGGTAAAGGGAGAGGGTAGAAAGAAAAAGGCAGTGAGAAAAGAGACCTGAATAAAGCAGAAATGTGACAACATGGCAAAGACAGAAAAATAAGAGAAGGTTACAAAAAAGCAGGTATGAAAGGAGCAGAGAAGAAATCAGAACTGTTTAAGGTCAGAAGAAATGAACAGGTGATCTCCTCCAACCTCCTGTATCACAAAAGCGATTGAAAGATTTTAAAAGAAAAATGCAAATCACAACCACCAACCCAAACATTTTTTAAAATTACCTGATCTGTTTATCAGCCATTTAATTCAAACTTGATCTTGTTAAAAAATGAATCTGTTCCTTCAAATCGTTCCTCAACTTCTTTTTCAATTCAGTTTCTTCCTGGGAAAGGAGAGAAAGACACCAAGGAGACAAAGTTGAGACACTTACTCTTCCAGAAGCTCAGGTCCTACTGGGCAGCTGCAGGGTGAAGCCAGCTGAGGAACAAATGACTTAAGGAAGCACCTGCTCTCTTGGAGAGGAGACATAACTTCCCAGCAAGCCTTATAAATATGTGTGTGTGTATAAATATAGAAGCACATAGGAAGGAAAGAGTTGCCAGAGTCATCAGGCTCCACCAGCACATGAGGAAGGGCAGCAGCCAGGCAGTGCACGAGCTCTGTCCAGCATCCAGCACAGCAGTACCCATCTCTCCAACTCCAGGGAGCATTTCAAACTGCACTGCACAGATCAACAGCCTTCTGTAGGTCCACCCAGCCATCCCAAGATAATTACATGCTATTGCAAGGCCTGTTCACAACTTCCCTCCAACACATGTGCTGGCACCAGAGAACAATCTTCAAAAACCTGCTCCTCCAGTGGTTACAATCCTTCCTTTACTTTCCAGCCCGAAACAACAGCCCATCCTCAGTCTTGTGCCAACATTGTCTTTAAGCAGAGCCTCACCCTCCCGAGGCTACTGAACTTTGACCTTTGGACCATTCCTTTCAGCTCAGTGCCTATTGGCACAGCACTGAAGTTCCAAGTCAGCAAAAAACCATCCTAAGACTCCTATTTGCTACTGTTTATCAAGAGCTGGTAGAAGTCACCATACAAAGAAATCTGGATGCTGGAGAAAATTTCAGAAGCAGACACAACCTTCAGATTTGTGGAGGCATCTTTGTCTCCTCTTCACCTCCAATCTGGGAATCAGCTGCCCCATGCTTTCTTCAGGCATCTCAGCAGCACCCAGCCACTCTCCTCCTTCTCCCCTTCCAGATGACATCTGGGTGGTGAGCCAGAAGCAGAGGAGATACATTTGCCCTTTGCCTCTGGAATGCAATTTGCCCCTTAGTTGCAGATTTCCTAAGCCACACAGGATCTCGCATCCAGCAGTGCGGCTCTCAGGCTGACACTTCTGCTCTGGAGATGCAACCTGGGGCCAGAGGCATTCCTGAGAATGTAAGTGTCAAAAGCTGGTGATGGTACAAACAGGTATGGGAAGGAGAGCAGATGAATTTACACACAGTCCAGCAACGACCTGCTCCCCTCCCTGTTACGTTAAGTGCCAAGAACAGGGCAGCATGAAAGCATTTGTGCAGTCCAACACTTGGACAATGTGAGACTAAAACTGCCTTTTCTGGAGTCCTATGTTTAGCTAAAGCCATGAGAGACCAGAACATGAAGCTTACTAAGGAAAGGAGCTTCTCTCCAAAACACTGCACACAAACCTCATCCACTGCACTACTACACCTTCCAGCCCTTCTGTGACCACCAGGGAAGGGATGCTCCTGCTGCAGCTGCACAGCAGGAAGGGGTAAAAACAGTCTTCCTGGGTTTAAAATCAAACAGGCTGCCTGTGTGGCCAGCAAATGCCATCTCCCCAAACACAAGTGACTCAGCTCATGGACAAGTGAGGGGAAGTGAACGATGTGATCATTTTACAGCAGACACCAGCACTTGATAACTGTTTATACAGCATCTGGCACAGCAAAGGCCTGAATGTGTCCATGATCAGGGGATTTTAATGCACTAAGGGATTTTAATGCACTGAAGTGGAAAGTTTATTTGAACTGTTTGTTTAAACAGAGCTCCAGCAAACGACCAAAATTTGTTTTGCTCCAGCAAAACAAATTCAAGTCACTGCAAACTCCATCTGAACACTTTGCTGCGATCTACAGAACTCCCCAAGTCCCTTAAAAGATGGCGAATGCTGAAGCCTCCAGCACCCTGGGAAGAGCTGGACCCCACAGTCTCCCAGGGCAGGAAAACAGTTGCTGCAATCCTGTAGCCTTGAAAGGAGGAAAAACACAGGCCGGGAAGAGCATGGCATTAATTTTATAGGATATTCAAAAAATAAATCAAGAACAAATCCATTTAACTAGAAAGGAAAGAGATTAAGTAAAGAACTGAGTATATCTCCCAAGGAACACGATGCTCTTGGGAGCCAGAAAATGCAAGCAAAATCAAAGTTTCTCCAGCCAAGCAGCAGTGTTGTCCAGGGCTTCCCATCTGAGCAGGGTCAGGGAGCAGGGCTTGCATCTTCCCAGGAAGCCTCCCATCAGCATATGCACTTGTCTGCACAAGCCAGCAGTACCAGAAAGGTGCTGATGCCTCTTCACATGGTTAAACTTCACAGCCAGGCAGACAACAGCACTGCTGGAACTGGGAACCTGAATGGCACAAGGAGCAGAGGAACTGGGAGGAAACTGGTAGTAGCTGGGCAAGGGGAAACAAGAGCTGCCAGAGATCCACCTCAAAGCTGAAGAGGCTGAGCAGCCTGCACAGAAGGAGGGTCTTGAATCGAACATGTAGTAATTAAGAGAGTGACAGCTGCACGGGCAATGAATTATGTGGCATTAATTCCTTCCTAGAGTGCTGTTAACACAGCTAGGCACAGATTAATGCCCCATTACTTGCCCACCAGGATATCCCTTCTACACTTATTAAAATGATCAAGCAAATTTAGTTTCAGAGTGATGCACACGCTGCAGCACGGGGAACTGCCTTCATGCAAGGCAGAGAAGCAGTATAAAAGCCCCAAAGCTCACTCTGCTGCACACTGGTACCCCAGGACTCCTCTATTCAGCCTCTCCCTTTTCACAGCTCACAAAATCCAGCTCCAGAGAGTAACAGAGCAGCCAGACTGGATGTACTACAATGCAACCCAAGCCAGCTTTGGATGGGCCTTCACAACCTCTGCCACTGCCAAAATGGCGCTGTTTTGCTTCCCTGCCTTGCCAGCCACCACACACGCTCATCCACCTACGCTACCCAGATAGCAAGATCTTCTTCAGGATGACCAGCCTTTGCAGACTGCAGACCTGCTGCACTCCTGATCAGCCCAGGGCACAGGGATGGACTTCTAAACTTCAGTTCTCACCTGAAGGAAAAGTGCTTACTGGAGAATCACAGACAGCCTGGGGCATGGAGGAGACAACATGTGGAGGAGACTTGATACGTGTGCCGATGGCAAGCTTGGATGGAGATAGATGCACACATCTCCACAAGCACAGACATCACAGGAGAAGGAACAGATTAAGCTTACCCACACTTCTTTGACCACACTGATCGCATCTACAGTAACTGCACAGTTCTGTGGCTGTAGGTTGCCACCTCTACCTCCAGATACCATTGCTCTGCCCACAGTCTGACCCTAGGGCCCCCACAGCTCAGAACCTTCCTTCTTGTCCTACTTTCCCTCTACCAGGCTGCCAAAGCCACCACCAGCATCCTCTAAGTGAAGCCAGCCCACCATCTCCCCCAGTCCTGCCAACAGCCCCCACAAAAAGGCCAGCTCTATGCTTCTGCCCTCTGCCCACCCTCCCATTTCCAGACTTCCCCCTCCCAGCAGCCCAACGCTGCAGCTGAGCACAGCCTCTCAGGCACATGCCGTCAGACATGCCGATTTATCTGGGTGCACACAGGCTGCCATTTTGACAGCCCTTTAGCCAACTGGTGCTGCGGCCGAAGGAAGCAATCCCGTCCTCTCCCTACACCCAACCATGTGTTCCCATCCTGGCTGTCATGCCAGCACAAACATTTGTGCAGACCGGTCAGGCAGGGATGAGACAGAGCTGGAAGCCAGCACATGCTGGAGCCATCACTGAAAGCAAACATTCAAACCACAACCTTGACTTTAAAATAAACAGCAGAAGGGGAAGACAGGACTCCCTTCCACATATTTCCATTTGCTTTGAGAAAAGACAAACTCAGTGCCCAGCCAGAGAAGCAGACATCAAGATGCCAGGCTCAAAGGGTGAGAAGGAGAGAGAAAAGCTGCGCCAGCATTCACTATGTCGAGAGGACACAGCCATGCAACCGCTCACAATGCAGGGGGCCAACAATCAGCAACTAGTACCTGCTGGGAGAGGAAAAACCCTCTGGGACCAGCACACTGTTTTCCTTCACAGACAAAGGCATGTGAAGGTGCAGACAGCCTGCCAAGTTTTGCTAATGACTGAAGCAAAGCAGCCGTTGCAACAGTAATGTTTAAGGAGTGCAAAGTATTTCTTGAGAGAAGCTACTTCATTTACCTTCACATAACAGCAGTCAAAAAACCAAAACTGGCCTTGGAAATGCAGCTACCTCCACCAGTCATCAATAAGGGAGAAGGCTCAGCACTCAACAGCTTCTTTTGAGCTGGGCCAACCAATCCTCCCATCTCAGGGACATCAAAAGCTGCATCATGTGCTGGAGACAGCTCACTCTTTCACTCCAGATTTGCCTGTTGGCCTCAGTCACTGCAAAAGAGTTACCAAAGACATCAGACAGGACACTTTACTACACCTAGCAACAGTCCCTCTGCCTGCCTCAGCCACACTGGGAAAAGCCAGCCCACCTGCTGCCTCCAAAGTAAGGATCAGAGTGAGTGGAGGAGCAGGTATTACTTGAAAGGAAGGGCACAAAAGAGCAGAGAAGGAAGTGGGGATCCTCCTGCCTCTGAGCAGTAGAAGCAGGAGGAACACATCCAGTTCTCTCAGTCTTCCTGTGAGCTCTCCATCCTGCTGGAAGCTACAGCTTGGCCCCTGCTCCCAGTACAGTACTTCCCCTACTTTGCTGAGAAACCTTAAGCAGTAAGTCAAGACAATAAGCATCTCCTGTTACTTCCATGAGAGCTAAGGCTTGGAGGAAGGCCTCTAAAAGGCACTGTGAGCAGCAAGAAAAGCACCTTCCTGACCTAGAAAGCTTCTCAAGGCAAAACAACGAGCAACTAATCTCTCAGATTAGTGCAGAAGCTGTCTGCCCTATTGCTTAACAGGAGGAGTCCCGTAGAGGCCTCTCCTTGCATCAACATGATACTTCTCCCAGACAAGTCTTCTACCCCTCAGTTCTACTCCAGCACAGCTCAGGAAACAGAGACCAGTTCATAGGTCATAACACCAGATCACGCTTCAGTTACTAGAGCACATCCTAC